AAAAAAAACAATAACAACAACTGAACAAAAGATAAAAGAAAGCACAAGGATCGATTGAAACAGTTCTATTAAAAATAACTTCTACAACACAAATTGTAAATTTTTGATTGGATAATACCAAATTTGTCTTGTTCGAATTCAACAATTACTCAAAACACGTAAATAACCAATCCTTCATCACTGCTTCTACGTCATATGCGTCACGATTTAACAGTACTCAATCATCATCTTACACTGTTTCAACAGACACAACAGCTCCAGCAATAACAACAACCGCGACTGCCCTATCAACTTCAATCATCGTACTAAATACAATAAACCTATCAGTGACACATGCTCTTTTGCAATTATCTAACGTTAGAGTAACTAAGAAGAGACGAATACTATCGATGTAAGAAAAACAAAAACAAAAAAAACCGCTAATAAGACTGTTAGTCTTCTGTTTGATCCCGTTGTTGCTTTTGGTAAAGAGACCAAGAAAGTTAAAGCTTTAATTGCAGTTAACAAAGAAATATATACATAAGAAAAATCTAAAAACAATAACGTTGATGGTGTAACAACTGAAGATAAGAAAAGTTCTTAGTCTCGAACAAAAAATGACTCACTATTGTTATGTGCGTCTTATACATTATTGTTTTTTTTTCTAAATAGAAAACAATAAAAAAAAAAACAAACATTTTCGAATTCTTAGTAAAATATCTTTTTTTTTTCGTAATGTAAAGTTTGAAATGTTCAATACTCATGTATCTTATTGATCATAAACAAACAGCAATATCATATTTTTCTATTCAAATATTGTAAAACATACTACAATAATTTTTTCATCTTCTCTATCTAATTTCAATTTTTCTCTAGCTCAATACTGTTCTGTTTATTTTGGTATTTTGATAATATTCTTTATCAAAGATTTTCCTTACTTTCAAAAATAACTAATTGATACTATATGTAAATTTAATCTGTCTTTCATATTCAACATAGTTTTAAAGTTCTATTAGATTTTTATTTTTGAGTTACAACATACTAGTTGATTACTTTCAGTATTTTTATTTCATATAAAAAATCATTTTTGTGTTATACAATTATTAATGTTGACTTTTTCATGAAAATTAAATATCATTACAGGTATCAAAATCAGACAACTGTCTGTTGTTACTCTAATAGTTAATAAAAATGTTACAGCTAACGTACCATCTGATAAGGAAAACAAAACAACAGACAAAAAAAATCTGCAAATACAGAGTTTAGAATTGAGTGGATAAAAATTTTTTAGAATGTATAAATTGAATTGAAGAATTTTTTTGTCAAGATCTACGAATTTAATTCAATTCAACTTAAAGAAATTTCTCAAATTTTTGTTATCGTAAGATCAATTTACACAATAAAACTCATGAAAGGTCAAGTTGTAATTATGATTTATTTTGTAATTTCTCTCCGGAACTTTTATCTCGAAGTAGTTAAATCCCACTCACATTTTTATATATACTTTTGGCTTACTTACACCAACTTATTTCTATTTTCTCCTCTTTTTTTTTTTGAATGACTGCATATAATTTATGCACATTTGCTCTCAACATACCGATGTGTTTTCCTACTCTTTCAAGTCATAGTTACAATATTCATTTGTTTCCAGCTGTTAGCGTAATGTTATATATAGCATTTGTTTGGACAAACTGATATGATATCTATTGTTAAACAAATACCTCTTATAATGTATTTATCCTTTGTTCATTAGTATTTAATTCAGCTATGATCTTCTCTTATAATTTGCTATTGTTGTTGAAGAAATACTTCAAATTATTCTATAGTAAACAACCCTAGTTATATTCTGACGTAAAGGGAAAGAAATTTTTTATGTGATGAATAACAATAAAACTCTTTCTAACTCGTTCAATGAAGGAAAACAAGAATAAATGTATGGATTAGAATTTTTCAATGCGACCACCGTGTTGAGTGAGTTGCTCTGCTCTATTGTAATGAAAAAACCGGACCTAAATATTAGAACAATCACAAAGTAAAAACATGTTATAAAAATTATTTAATACTAGTAAAATTGATTATTGTAGGTGAAAACTATGATGTTACTGATGTTTCAATTGAAAGCGAACTATAAAGAATTGAAGAGTAATGTTGTTCCTGAATCACTTGACTATATCTCACAACGAATTGTCCTTTTACGTAATTAAAAATTTTATTCATCATTTCAAGTTTTTGATTCTATTATTATTCGAAATTTTGAATCTGATATAGTTGATTGGATATATATGTATGATGAACTTTACTAAACGAAACTTAATATCTTATATGACAGATAACGTATATTTAAGGAAAATAGTTGATGTTACTAAACAATATAATAATCTGTCAACTATTTTATTTTACATTTCAATTGATTTAAATAAGACTTTAATTCTAACGATACGCTACGTTGTAGAAAAATTACAAAAAGAACGCTTTCAAACATCAGAGAAAAATGTTGACTTGAACAATATGGTTATCATTTCAATAAGAAAATAAAAGAGATAAATCCATTTTTCTTTTCTTTAACCACTCATTAAAGAAAAATATTGACTCCAACATATATATTTACGTTTTTTTTTTCTTGTTTGAAATAAAATTCTATTCCTCTGTTTTAATGACATGTCTTTATGTTTATCATGTAATACCAATAATAAGTTCTCACATCTAGGAAAAAAGCACGATTTATCTACGTCAAAAGAGCAAGATTATCTAATTTTGAGGATGTTAAATAAGAAAACAATATGCGTCGTTAGAAATAATAAAAAGCAAAATGCTGACTTGTTTTTTTTTTGTATTTGTTGTTAGTCTTAAGTTTTAACAGCATCATATTCTTATTAAAACAGTTAAAGAACAAAATATATTTATCCACATTATGCAACAACAATTATTTTTTTTAATTATTTTGCTTTATGTTCTATTGATTAAATCCCAAAAAATAATTGGAAAAGTAAAGCTCGTCTTTTATTATTCACATATGGAATCTTTAACATCATATACAATACCTATTGATACTTATCTAGTTCATCAAACAGAACCTGATCATGTTTATTTTTTACACGTAGATGAAACCAATGACAAAACATTTGTTATTAAAGGAATTAGATGTCTTTCTTATCGTTATACAAGTAGCCATTGTACAAAAAATTTTCAAAGTATAGTCATATTTATACTATTTTTTTTCTAAAATTTTTATCTATCCATATATATATATATTTGAAGGTAAATACTTAAATATTCAATATCTAATGTTTTCAACTCTATATATATTAAAAATGACTGATGACTATTCATCTTTCCAACAACTTCTTCGTAATTTATCTTTTCGAATGTTAAATAATAAAAATGAATATAATTTAACATATATTATTTCAAATTATAATATATATGATAAGATTGACAAACCAAAAGATCCCCATGAAAGGTCATTATCAACAACAACTCTTATTGGAATTATTTTTCTTGGTGTATGTTTTGTATTTATATTTGGTTTTATTATTGTATGGTATGCTATATTCCAATGTCGACGATTTACACAAAATCGAATAGAAAAAAATCATCGTATAGCACTTGCAAAATCAGCACAACAAATGCTTGATAAATCACCAATTATTCTATTTGATTCAAATAGTGAAGATAATGATTTTACTGATAAAGATCCAATGTGTGCTATTTGTTTGGAAACATTTAAAAATAAAGAAAAAATTCGAAAACTTGGTATGTATAAAAATAAATTTATTCAATTTTATTTATTTATTTTCTTTTCAAAGATGTCTGTTCACATTATTTTCATGTAACATGTATTGATCCATGGTTATTATCGCATCAAAGTTGTCCACTTTGTAATCGAAATATTTTAGATGATTCAATACCTTCAATTTCATCAAATATTATGAATGCTGAAAATCAACAAAATAATAATGCAACAACAGCAATAATCAATAATGATAATAATCAAACAATTTAAACATCAAATTTTAACGTGTGAAACGAGATTTTGAAGACAAAAACAAAAAAAATCAGAATCCTTGAGTTTTCTTTTTGGTTTTAATTTGCTTTCAATTCCTATATTGATGTTGTCTAAATCTGACAAGATTTTAAAATATATACCTAAGGATTTGCATAAAATTTTCAAAGAAACAAAGCAAAAGATATTTTGAACGATAAAATAGACATAAAAATTTATCTATTTTAAATTTCATTGATTAATATTGAACATTTTTCATGTATTTAATTCTATGATGTTGATAAAAAGAAATAATTTTTGTTGCAATTGCTTAATTAAAATATTCATCTTAATAAATAACATGAGAATGCAACAACTTATAGGACCTTTTGCATTATCCGAAATGCAAGTTTTTTTTTCGTTTTCTTGCTATAAAATTCATGACATTATTTTCAGTCTTTAATTTCATAGATATAGTTGTCAAATGTATTCATAAAGATTCTTTTTCTTTTTTTCGGTCTCCTTTTATCACCTTCAAACATTTATTTTCATACTTAAAAACAACAATTGATAAGTTCTTGTTCGATATTTATGTAAATAAAATTCTCACTATTACAATCATATATCATTTGTTTCTTTTCAATTTAATGAGAAGTATATATACATATTCAAGAATATGAAACAAATTTGTTAACTTAACAATTTCTATTTCATTTGAATATTTGATCTATTTAAACAAATTATTTATTTCTATCAAACTCTTCAATCATAAAACACTATGAACACGAAAAGAAAAAAGAAAAAAAAAAACCTCATTTTTTCCATTGAAATGAGTTTCATACATCTCGCTATGATTATCGCCGTTTGCTATATAAGTTAAAAACAACAGGTGTATTATATAAAATAAAATTCAATTGGTCACCTGTATAATACAGAGCAATTATATGAGAGTAAAGGAAGAATACAATATGAATGTCCTTCACTCTCTCCTTCTTGTGACAAATTACACACCAGTTTATAGACCGAACACATACATATAACATGTCTATTTTCGTTTATATTGTATGAACGAACTCTTGACCTTCGATGTATACGTATATATCAAGATAGAAAGTGGAATTCATATTTCTTCTTTCGGTTCACGTTGGCAATTGAGAAATAAAGTAAATGACTTTGTATATAACTCAAAACAGAACGATGCGAAAAAAAAAGAATCGAAGTACACTCATTACATCTTGTTCTTTTCCTTTCTTTCTTTTTTTTTAACACTCCTGCTGTATGTGTATGTGTGTGTATATTTATTTTGTAGGAGCGAGGAAACAGAAACGAAAAAATGAATATCAGAACTACTAGTTGATAGTGTCTCATTATTTTGAACAATAATCATTATTATCTTGTTGTCGTTCATGATAATAAGATAGACAAACTTTAATCCTTCAAATATGTATCTATTATTCATTTGTTTCTTTATTTTAGATTGTTATATAATTCTATTCTTATAAATCTATTGACAAATATAAATGAGATGCACACTTGTTAGAAAATAATACTTTAACAATCATGGCAACTTTTTGAATAATAACATTTACAATAATTATCATTAACATATATGACAAGAAAAACAGCAATAAGAAAAATCATACAACGCATAAAAAAAGAGAAAAACTACTGTACTTTTCTTTTCTTTACTTTTTTTTTTCGTTTGTTCACTTCAAGAATCAAATAAGGTAAGATGATGAAAAGAAACAGAACGATAGACAAATAAATGAGTTTTTATATATGTGAGAATAATCATGAAATAAATTCTAGAGGAATTATATGTCAGTTTCGATTACTTAAAAAGAATAAATTCTTTATTTTCTAATTGTTGAAAAGAAAAAAGAAACAAATTATTCAATGGTATTTATTAGTTTAAATGTAGGGTGACATTTTTTCAAGATAAGAAATATATGACTCGATAGTTAATTGTAGTTTATTGTTTTTGAACACCTATTCTGATAACTATATTGACTTTCTAAGGATTTTTTTAATCAAACAATGAATTTCTCTGGTTTCAAGGTTGCACCTTTTTTTTCCAATTCATGTTTCTATACATGCATATTTCTTTTTCTTTTTTTTTCTTGCTCTATCATTCAATGTATCTGTCTTCGTATTTAATTTGTTCGTCAAACACAATCCAACTTCTATATCTTGTACGAAACGAATTGACCTTTTCGTTATATATTCGATTGAGTTTGTACATAAAAAAAGGAAAAAGATACATGCACCTATACGATGAAACAATGTCCCGTTCCTCTCGTCGTTTTCTTTTTTGTATATATGTGTCTATACAGATTAGATATTCACTTGAGAGATTAGATGACATCGACAACGTCGTCTACATTGTTTAATTGTTTTGTCAATGAAATACAATCTTAAGAGAACTACAGTCTGAGTCAATACTCTCTTACTATATACGTTATAATCATTATACAAGAAGTAAGAAATTCAATGTCGTTTTCTTTTTCTTTTTCTCTTTCGAGGTCAAATAAACGTTTTAAGAAATGTAATAAGTTCATAAGTTAGATACGCTTCGTTAAACATCTTATATGTATAGATTCATTCATTATAATGTCTATGTAAATATCGACTAGACAAAGAATAATGTTCGTATTAGCTAAATTCTATTGTAAAGTAAAACAAAAAAAGAAGCAAGAATGAATAGAATTGATACATAAGCAGAATTTGAATTTTTTTCCTTTTTTATTTAAAATCAAATCATTACAGATGAAGATTGATTGAGTGTTTCATTTTAAGCATTTAGTTTTTTTTTCTTTTTTATCAAAAAGGATTTTACTTTTTATAATGATCGATTATTGATGTATGAAAGATTATATGAAAAGAGCAAAAAAAAAAGATCAAATATAAATAATTACCTAATAAAAAATATTCATATCGGCTTTCTTTTTTCTGTCTCCATATATATATATAAATATCATTCCCTGGGTCTTCTAAGTAATTTACCTATTTTCTTTTCAAAGAAGTAGAATAATATTGGTTAATTTTTGTTAAGATAAACATCTTAGATGTTCAACGACGAGTGTTAATCGAAATAGATCCTTCAGGGTGATTTGTTCAATAAATATATATATACATACAATACAACTAATTGAGGTTCTAAGCTCTTTTAGTCTCTTCTCTCAATTTCAAATGAGTGAAATGAATAAACGCATATATATATATGTATATGTCTATACACAAATCAGTCTTAAGGCTATAAGTAGACAATGACTCTCACTTGACGATATCATCTACACTATGTTGTATGAATATATCTTTACCGAACCGATAACAATGATTTACTCTTATCTTAAGGAATTTTTAATCGGCTTAAATATGTTATTTCGTATAAATATCACTGATAAATCTGATCATGCATATATTTTATATTCTTTCTAGTGTATATTAATTAATCAATGAAAAAACAACGTGAATTCGATGATAATATTGTACGTTCAGGTACACGTGTACGTGAAAGTGTACGTAGTTTACCAAAAGGACATTTTCAACAGATAAGACAAATGTTTGAAAAACAAACATATTCAACAAAAAAATTATCAACTATTTATGAACGACAACAAAAACCTATTTTAAATGATGTTTTATTACGATTACCTGTAACTGATGATGAAAAATTAAAACATAGAATAACAAATATTAATGATATAAAAATAAATCATAATAAATCATCACTTGAAGAACGTTACCAAGATTATCTTGCTGAATATCAAACATTTCGTTTAAAACTTACAAATGAATTTCTTCAACATAAAATAATGTATCCATTAAAGCCAAATGAACATTTATTTGAAAAATCAATATCATTGTCTCATGAGAATAATTTAAATCAAGGTAAAAACATGTGTTTTGTTTTTGTTTTGTGAAATAAAACATAGATATATATAAAACGAGGATATTTTATTAATGCATTCATTTCAATGAATGTCAAAAATCTGTTTTATCTCTTTTTCATTCATCATCTTTCAATAAACAAAGGAGAAATAATAAAAAGAAAAAAAACAGAGATGGTCGTGTGAGTGAAGGCCGTCATTTTTTTTCTCACGTCTGGTTTCTTTTTTTTTTTTTGTTGCACGAAATTCAAGCAGTAAGAGTCATTGTCTTCAATGATGAAAGAAAAATATATGTGAGAAGAGTAAACAATGAAATATTTCGAGATAGTAAAAAAAAAAAAGAAACTACGAGAATAAAAAGAGGATGGTAAAGGTTATGACGCCAAAGTTGTAGGCGAGAACTATCAGTATTTTATTAGTCATAGACCACCTTCGCACATTTTCATTTTATTCTTCTAACTTTCTATATTACTCGCCTTTTTATTGGCTATCCTAATCATGTGGGCAAAGCGATAATAATAAAATCTTTTCTTTTTTTTTTTGTTTTTATCTTAGAAACACTTTCACATACAACTTCATTAACAGAACAACAACTTCCTTTATCCAAATTAGAAGAATCGATTTTAATAACATCTCAACTTAATAAACAGCGTCAATTGGCAATGTCAGCCATTATTAATTATACTGATAGTTACGATTCATTAACTTCAAATTCTTTAAAACGTACAGGTAGTAGTCGACAATATGTATCTAGTTTACAAAGTACATCAGATGTTCATACTAAACCTGTTTATTTAACAACACCAACAAAATGTAATTTATTAAAAGATAATCAATCAATGATATCTAATGAAACATATAATACATTAAAATCTTCAAGACGTCTTCATTCTTCAACATCATTATCATCAACTGGTTATGATTCAAATTCTTCACCTTCAATTAAATCTAAACGTAATTCTATAGCAACAAATAATAGTAATGATTTTATAATACAATCAACATGTTCATCCTCACCAACATCATCATCTTCTTCTTCGTGTCCATTATCATCAAGCGATGAACAACAACAGCAATTATCAAAACCTTGGGTAAGTTAATTTTTAACAACTGTTATGTAATATTCACTTACAATTATTAGATACAATATCAATCAAATACAATAAAACCTTCAAATGATAATGATGATGTATTTGAAAGTTCAAATGAATCATCATCATCACCATTAATAAGTCGTACTGAAATAAAATTAAATCAACCAACAATTGATTCTCGTCCTACAAATGTTATTCGTCATGCAGTTATTCGTAATTCAACTTTAATTAATTCTCCTTCGTCATCAACAACAACAACAACAACATCAACACATGAACCAATAATAGCACCAAAAAATAGTAATAATTTATCTTATATTGTACAAACAACATCATTTCCTGATCATACAATAGATAGAAAAATTCGTCGATGGAATAATGTTTATGGTGAACGTATAGAAATTGTTAATAAATCAAAAAGAAATAGAAAATATCCATTATTATCTACTAATTCAATGGGTTTTCAAGTTATGAGTTCAAATAATGAACAACAACAACAACAAATAGAATTCGATACTTTAAATACAAATTCAGAACAAAAAAAAATTTATCAACAAGAAGAAAATTCATCATCTCTAGTAGAAACTCCAGTATTGTATCGATTACCACCAAAAAAACCACCAAGAACATTTGAAAATGAAAGAAAAAATGATCATTTAGTAGAATCAAACAGTCAAAAAGTGCCATCGCCAGCATTATCAAATGAAAATTCACCAACATTTGATCGTGGTATGAAAAAAAATTTTTCTTATTTCATTAAAAACATTTCATATGAGAAATTTACATTCAGTACAATTTTTGTACGATCTCCAAAAATCTTTATTTTATAATTTTATTGATTGTAAGAGTAATAGACGAAGTAAATACATACATAGAAAGAAAAAATATATATGACGAATATAAAAATTATTCTTAAAGGTTGATTGATGTAAATCTAAAAAAACCGGTTTTTTTTTCTTGATTGCAAAAAAAAGCATAATTTTGTCTTATCATTTAAGGAGCTTTGCATATTTTGTAAAGAGCTCGAGCTCTTAGTTTATTGCTATGAAAATATCGCAAATTTACAATAGTTTTTAAAAGAATGCTGTAGTCTCTCTCAGGAAAAACGTCTTAACAAGAATAATTTATTATGAAAGCTTCAGTTCCTATAATTTGCTTCTATCCTGAAATAAAAACATCGAATCTACTGTTTTGTATGTGTGAGCGATGTAAACAGCATGCTTTTATCATAGCTGCATCTTGAGATAGGAATAACGATAAGATATGAAATATTCACAAAAAAACCTATTCTCGTTAAAAAGAGTATCTCTTCGAAAAGTTTCAAGTCGAAATTCGAAAATCAATTGTGCTCAGAAGGAGCATGGTACTCATTTAAAAGCTATCGTAAAACGTACAGTGTCTGAGCAATAATAAGCTATGAGCACGAACTCTTTTCAGAGTATTCATATCTCATTCCGTTCTACATAATGCACATAGTCTTGACGCATTGACAATTTATCAATTGTATCACATCCTTCATGAGTTATCATCAAAGAATTTTATCTTGTATACTTTTCTTATGAATTTATCTCAAGAAAATCTTACTCACGTGAATTATCGATGAATACATGCTTTTTCTTGTTATTCTACAGATTAGCTTTATCGAAGAAAATCTCCAATATTCAAATCCTTTAAAATCAACAGATTACTTCCCATATTAAAAATAAAACATTGTTTTTCGACCTTTATACTAATCCTATCTGAATGTTAAATCAATGAAAAATATTTGACATAGTTTTTAAGAAACATTTTATTTATAAAAGCTAAAAGTCTATGACACATTAAAATATGTGTTAACAAATGCATCAAATTTTACTTGATATTCATTATTATTATTATTATTATTATTATTATTATTATAGGTACTCGTTCAATTAGTTGTATGGATTTAACAGCAAGTGTTTCCAATGCTTTATTATCTAATGATCATCAACATAATCATAATTCACATCGATCAAGTATTCTATTAGAAAAATCTATAAAAATATCTATTCCAAATGAAAATCTTAATAAACCATTAACATCAATAATTCAAAAAGATAATCAAGAACAATATTTATATAATAGTTCTCATAGTGAATTAAATACAACAAATAAAAATAATCATACTTTTCATACACCAATAATAAAACCAAAACAAAATAATATATTAATAACAAAAAAAAATTCATCAATGAAAAAAGGTATAAGTGAACCAAATCTTAGAAAAACATCTCGTAATCGATCACCATTTTCACCACGTGCACTTATTGATCGTTTTAAACGTATGTTACCATTAACATTATCAAAACAATCATTAAATGATAAAATAATCAATCATAATGATAACATATCAATAGTAAATGATAGTGATGATACAGCAAGTACATCATCAGAAAATACTGATCATTTACGAACATCTCGTCTTGATCATGTTAGTCGTGTTAAAGATGTTTATGATTCATTAAATACATCAAATCATATGTCAAGTTTACTTACCGATCCAAATATATCTATACCAATAAATGAATTAAAAACTTTATATGATTATGTTGTTCATATTATACCTGAACAAGAATTAGGTTATTTTTCAAATGGTAATGGTTGTTTATTATCATCAAATATAAATCAACAACAACAACAACAATATATATCAACATCAACATCAATACGTTTTAAATATCCATTAAATGCAAATGATGAAGTAACATTAAAATATTTTTGTTTTCCTGATCAAAATGATTCAAATAATAATCCATTATTATTAATGAAAACTATAACACAAGAATATTTTCGTTTTACATTAACAAATATGTATGGTATAAGACAATATGGTTATTGTTCAAGATTTTATCATAAAGGTATAATTAATGCATTATGTATTGTTTCACCATATGATATGATTGATGTTTATGAAAAAATTCTTTCAACTGCTACAGAATTATTTCTTTCATATAAAGATAATGATGCAAGAAAATTTTTAGAAGAAATTTATCAACATCATTTACCAAATCGTGGTGATACAATACATATTAGTACAACAACAGTTGGTTTATATACATTAAAATGTGAATATGATAGAAGAAAAGTATTAATTGATTCAGTTACTTTACTTAGTTTATCAACAGGTATGAAATTAAATTTGTTTTTTTCTTTCTTTGAAAATTTGTATATAAAAGATAGATATTTGTTAAATAATAAATTAAACAATTTAAATTTAGTAAAAATCATATACGTAGTTATGAGATTTACACAAGGACGAAAATTTCGTACTTCAAAGATATGTCCAAAGTATTGTATAAAACTTCTTAATTATTCCAAGTCTTCTATTAATATGTATTACGAGCATATTAGTTTAAGTTCATTTTATATAAGTCTAAATACTTCAGTGTACTTCAAGATGTTGATAGTAGACTTGAAATAACTAATGAGTTCTAGATGATAGCTTTGATATACTGAAGTATGGAATTAACCTATTCAGTCATTTTTCAGATATTTGAATAGAATCGGAAGTAGTTAGTTAGAATCAAATTTTGTCCTTCTTTCCGAATATCTGTTCAGAATTTCTTTATGGATAACTATCATTAGATTATTTCAAAATAACAGATACACAGAATACTATTTTGGTCAAATTTTGTATTTTATTTGAAATCTATCAAATTTAAAATGCAAATCAGTTTTTAATCGCTTAGTTTTGTAGTACAAAATGCGTTATTTATTTTGCATGACAAATTTTTTGAAATTTTTTGTATATTTAAAAGTAGTTTTTGAAATAGCGATTGCTGATTTCTATAGAAACTAATTCTTAAGTAGAAATACATAGAGGAAATTTTGCATATTATAATATCTCATTTTTTAGTTGAAACTGTTCTAAAACACAAACTGAGGATTGCATCAAAACTGTTATTTTGCTTTGCACAGACATAGTTTTGACGTTTTTACAGAATTAACTGATAGTTGTTCAATCGTACCTCAGAAAGAAAATCTTAACATATAGTCGGAAATATTGAATCCTAATTAATTATTTCTGGTTGTTATCATGGACCGAGAAATGAGCGAATATATTGTGCCTAGACCTTCGCACTTCTATAGGTTTATATTGTAATATCAATCAATTAATTTTGAAAATCTTTTAGAAATAGTTCGACGAATCCCTTCTTTAGACTTCCAAATATCATCAAACTATTCAATATGTCAAGTAGTAATAAATGTAAAATAAAAGACTCTTTCGTTATACAGATTAAGATAATTCTATTTGACAAAATTAAATATAAAATTTTTACATTATGAATACTAAAACTGTTAGCATAATTCATGCGGAATTAAAATATGAAACAGGATGAAACTGCTAGTATTTTAAAAGAGAACATAATTCATTTATGAATTCTTATATATTATATGATTTCCTTTGTTTTTTTTTTATAGAAATAATCATTAAAATATTTTCTTCGATTCTCTACGAACAAAAAATCATCTTTATTGGTAATGAACTTGGTCCATTAACACGTTTAATTAATACATTTATTTGTCTACTTTATCCATTTTCATGGCCACATACATATGTTCCAATATTACCTTCATTAATGCTTGATGTAATACAAGCACCAACACCTTATATTATTGGTATATTACGTTCTTGTGAATCATATTTAATAGCAAATGATGATTTTGTATTACAAGATAATTCAGATATACTTATTGTTGATATTGATCATGATCGTATACGTTCAATAAATGATTATTTAACAAATAATACATATCGTAGTTCAATAGAAAATTTACATCATTTTCCATTAACACATGGAGATACAACACATTTTCAAATATTACCTAAAATATTTAAAATTGAATTAAAACAAGAAATATCATTATTACGTAAAACTCGTTTAAGTTTATCATTGGATGAATGTCAACAACGTTTACATAATGTATTTATGTCTATATTTGTACAATCATGTTATAATTATAAAGATTATTATAATGAAAAATTTCAATATGAAGAATTTCTTCAATCAAAACAACATACAATTGAATTATTTTTAGAATGGTTTACACATACACAAATATTTGAATTATTTATTCGACAAAAATTTGAAAATAATAATTCAAATCAATATGCAATTACATTTGATTTAGCTTGTGAAAAATATTCGAAAACATTAAATAAACAAATAACACCACAACGTATGACAGTTAAATCAATTAAACGAAAATCAGCAACACGAGCAAATAAACAAGAGAATAAATTTTAATTTAAAATAAGAAACAAATTTAATTATAAGCTATTTGGTCAGATAAATTTCCTTTTTTTTTTTTTGTATATAATATTTGTATGATAAAGATAGTTTTTTTTTGTACGTGTATTCTTCGTTTATGTAACAGTCATTGTATCGAATAAAAGCAACAAAAATGATAATGTGTGTGTGTGTGTGTGTGTTGTTCTGCTCGTGTTGTTTTTTTTTAATGAAATATTAATTTATATATGTTTGTGTTTGTTTTGTTTTTCTTGGAAAATAAGATCGAAAGTACAACTTTTAATATAATGAGTGGACCATGATGAATGGTCGCGCTTTGCATTTAAGTTTTTCATCATCTAATATATTTCATTAAAAAACAAAATAAACTACAAGATGCAACGTAAAAAGCTCTACAATACAAAACTTATTTTAGGGTACGTAGTAATTTGACCGAAAGAAAAAATGTTCCACACGTCATTAAATGACTGTATTAAGTGTGGAGTGTAAGATAGAGCTCGTTGAGTTAGTCCTAGACCCGACCGAATCTGGGTCTGAAAAAGTATGATCAACCGGATCCGGATCTGAAAATTTTGGAACCGACGGGCTCTAGTGTAGGGAACGTGTGAAAAGAAGACTGGTACCCACATGCACACTCTACACAGATACGCACGACAACACGTCACATCTACACAAAAAAAACGTATTGTCTTGACGTTAGGTTTGTTCTTGAATATTTTTCATATGCTATTACCTCTTTTGTTGGTGTACTTATACGTTTCTCACTTGTTTGTATGCGATAAAATATCTTCATCTCAGTGATCGAAAAATCTCGAAATGAACCTTTTTTTCCACATTTTTTTGTTCGGCTAAATTAATGCCATTCTATTTTATATATGCATCTTTAGTTTTCAAAATAGACAAAATTCTGTGTGACTAATTTTTGATGCTGCGAACAACATCGGTTTTTTGATACATGACGAATTCCTTTTCTTATTTGATGAATTAATAAATTAGAGTTCTTAAATTTATGTCCATTGTATATTATTGACAATAGCGTCTTACACATAATAATTTAGAAGATTGAGATCAAGATTGTTTGATAGTCATCTATGATTGCTTATGAAATGTGTGAAATTCTTGTCACATCATACCAATCATTCTTGATGTGTATGCAGTGTGGTTGACCTTCAGCTTGTGCATATGAAAGAACAACTTCAACATAATTCTCATATGATAATATTTTACCAGGTTTAAATATAATTGAAGACTTAAGGCCATTTTTAGAAGCTCTTAAAAATATTATAATTCCTGTTTTGGACAACATCAGAATGAGTGAAAAAAATTCAATCAAAACACATAAATTGGTCTAAAATCGGTCATTGATTATTGTCTTCGATATAACTCTTGAATCGAAGAAATAAGAAAAGGAATTCGTCATGCACCAAAAAACGATCTTGTTTGCAGAGTTGAAAATTAATCACACAGAATTTTGTCTATTTTGAAAACTAAAGGTGTATATATAAAATAAGCTTTGTATAGAGTAGATTGTAGAGCTTCTCACGATGCACCTTGCAGTATGTTTTGTATTTGAAGTATATATGAATGATTGCAATCGAATGTTCTCTATACGAACAATGATAAGATGTATGTTTTGAAGTTTAAAATGATAACTTTTTATTCATTGTTAAGTGCTTAATGTTGTGAACAGTCATTATAGTATTTGTTCAACTATTGTTTTTTGTTTCTTTCAACACTTAGATATATCTTTGAATGATAAGTGATAAAACGTTGAATTGAAATGAAAAATGTGTTTGTTTTTAATAGATTGAATACATTGATTGTATTTTGATAAATGCAAGAGAAAATAAGTAATGAAAACAATGCCTAGTGGGTTAAAATGTAAAAAGTGAAATAAATGATGTTATTGATAGATGAATGTGTTTAAAAATATCAGTTCGAGTCAATATTTTATATATTCAATGCTTTGTTCGATTCGTCAGGCAAAGCTAATACAATATTATCCTTGACCTTTTTAGATTGTCTATATGAATCTAAGCACAATATATTTCAATTCCGAGGCTATTTCTATCATGATCGATGTTTTGAGACAAAGGTTTCAAAAGTTCACCAGAAAATCAAACTTGAATGATTTTTCAACAGTTCAATTGATTTTCATATTTTGTTTTTCATTATTTGATTCCATACACTTATTCAAGTTTTATACAGCATATTTCATCTAAAATGACTTTACCTATGAACATTAGAATACAGATTATTCTATTATAAACTATTATTAAATATAGTGTATGATATTGTAAACATGCTCGATCTAATGTACAATATTTTCATTTTCGCTAAAATTTGACAATGATTTTTGAGAAAGAAGTAATGATAATGGATGGACTAAAAATTTTGAGATAACATTTTTGTTTGTTTTTGACTACTTTGAAAATATTTCCGAGAAGTTAGGAGCCATAGGCTATGACCAAAATTTTATGCTCTTGCCGAATGTAGGCTTAGAAATTTTCTTGAGACCAACGAGATAATCTTTTGCAAGGCCCAAAAAAATGAGTCTGGATGGAAAATTTTTTCATATAATTTTGTACTTTCATCATTGCAACTCAAAAGTAAATGTTAACATCCTTATTAATATATCAGCTTGTAGAAGAGAAGCTATCCTGCAAAATGTACTATTGGATTTTGTTTTTGTTTTCTTTAAATCTTCATTTTTGAAAAACCGACTTTTTGACCAAAAGACATTTTGTATAGAAAGAAGCTCCGCACAGAATGCGTATAATTTCTTCAATTAGATAAAAGTCACAGATTAGTTCAATATAAAATTTTACAAAGAAGTGGTCGCTCGGCAAAACAACTGACTGGAATATGTTTTTGTACCTTCGAAAAGGAACTTTAAAGGGTTTAGCAAAAGTCTATTAACTCACCATTCAATCTAATTTTTTTGGTCTTTAAAAACTTCCTTCAATAGTCTTGACTACTCTCGAATAAAAACTGAGATAACATTTCTAAGGTCATATTTAGAAAGTGCACAATATGTTGATCCTAATCCATAGCTATTAACTTCTTGGAAATATTTCAAGGGAGTCAAAAATAAATAAATATTTTATCATCTGTATGAATTTTTTGTCGTCATAAGGATTTAGAAAACTGTACATCATCTTAACGATAGAACAATCTTTGAAATCGGACATTTATTAGATATTTGAGAGGAAAGCAAAATTTCTATTTTAGTCTTTTATAAATTTCTTTGAAGATTAAACAAACTAATCCGATGTTAATTCATTTCTCAAAAATAATTGATTGTCGTGTCATAAAATCATAATTAATAATATTTATGATGATACATTTGCATTTCCATTGCATCTATAATTAATATATATTAAATATTTAAATACATTATAAATAGAACATAGATAATTATCATAAATACTTACAAAGAAGTATCACAAAAAACCCACATTGCTTCTTGTTGAAAAGTTGGAGTGTACGATACTTGTTTTGTCATAAATCCATATTCCCAAGAACAACCACGAGACATTACTATAAAATCGTATATCAAAAAAGAAAATAATATAAAACAAGGTGTTTTTTTTTGTCTCGAAATAACATACCACCGCCTTTAACACGTATGTAACATTGTCCATTACATGGAGTTTTATGACCTGCTAATGCAACTGGATCAACATTAAATTGACAAGAAGGATTGCGAGAATCACATTCATAACACCAACCAGCAGCAGCCAAAGCTAAAAGAGAATTTTAAATGATATATATATTCAAATTATTAACAAATCTTACTGGTTTCAATGAAACATGTCCAAGTAATAAGGAAGATAAAGACGATGAAGAAATTCTTGCTGGCCATTTTATGTTATATCTTCAAATAAAAGAAATGATATTTCCGTCGATTAATTGATTTCAATCATTCTCAAATAGATTTAAAATTATTTCAATAATATGTGGTTATTTGAAAAAAACATACCGTTTTTTTTTCTTCATTAAATCTTGTTTTTTTCAAAATAAGGTATTTATTTCATTTGAATTGAATATCATTTTACAATGCGTGGTATCATCAGCAAGAATAAAACGCAATCCATGTTTTCGTTTTTTGATTGAATTAAATTTGAGATTAGAAGATCGATGATTTTCTACAAAAATATCTGAAAAAGTATTCATATTCATTGAGTTTTGTTTTATAAAACTGAATAAAAAACAAAAACTATTGATACCACTCACGTTGTTTTTCATATCATAAATGAAAATTGAATTGTATTAATTGTTCAAGAGTATTTTTTGCTAGTCCTATTAGGACTAGTTTAATCATCATTTACCCAACTTGAATTCTATGTGAATTTGTTAAATATTAATTAAAATTTTGTTGTCTCCTCTTAAAATTACATGTTGCTAAATTCAACTAAATGATGAAAGTGATGAGTAAATTATGAAAAAATTTAAGTGTATAAAATAAATAACTGATGTGATATTAGAGTAACACTGTTGAGAATTGAAAATGAATTGATTTGAACTATGATGAAACTTGAACAATTTTTGATTGCAATATAAATATTAATGATATTAGTCATCACAAATGTGTTTTGAGCTTACATTTTTTTCATAGATAGGACTCAGAGTGTAGATGAAAACCTTGAAAAGGATTTATGTTATTATGCCTTTCTTCTCGAGTTATGGTTATTTTACTGCCTTTTCAGCATATCGCACGATATTACGAAAAACTTCGCAATAAGAAATATCACTCATTGGAGATAACACATTTGCACAAAACGTTATTTTCTCACAGAAGCTCTCAAAATACTTCGTTTTTCATGCATCCCAATACCTTGAGAAAAGACTTGTCTGTTTGATCTGAAATCTTCAGAATATAATAACTATCATGTAATCTGCTATTGAGAGAAAATTTCCGACGGAAACTTCCTAGTGAAATTTTTTTCGTAATATTCTGGGATATGCTGAAAATTCAGAGAAATAAACATAACTCGAGAAGTAGCACTCAATCCTTTTTTGGATTCTTCATCTACACTATCAGTTCAACATATGAGCAAAATATGAGCTCGACTAGAGGGTATTACTCAGCGAAGTTCCGTCATCAGTTAAATCGAATTATATCTGAGAGAGTAAGGGATTTTTTCGATAAATATCTGTTTCAAAATTCTACACTTTAACAAACGAAAAATTAATGAATAAGTTAAGTTAATATCTGTATCAATGATACAATAAGATAGAAACAGTACTGCGTAACTGTATATGGAGTTAATTGGTGAACAATAGTTGCTTTGTAGAGTCTTGCGAAATTAAACTTTTTGATTTCGAAAATTTTTTTAGACTAGCATGTATACTTCGTTTTGTGCTACTTGTTAATGAGAATGTCTTTCTGATGTGCCTTTCTTGAAATTGATTTGTGAATCTATAAAGTACTATATGTTTATTGATTACGTGACACATGAAAAAGAAACTCGTTACTCTATAAGAATGAAAATAATTGACTATTTTACTGATGTAACTCCAACATTGATTCCGAAAAAACATCCTTCATCATCATTCCAACTTTACCTTTGTCGGAGTCGGATTTTGGAGTTCTCTGCAGGGTTCTATTGCCATCATTTTTCGACCATGCTATTTATCACAGTGGCTACTTATATATACTCAATATCCAATTCGGTAACTTAATGATCGACCAGAAACAATAATTGAAGGACTTTTATCATGTGCAGATAATAAAACAATAACTTGAATCATTTATTTCATTCGAATATTGTCAATATACAGTGAGTACCAAAATTAGCCAACCAGGTTTTTTTTCAATTTTCTTGCTGCTATCGTAAGCGTTAGAAAGTATCCGAATAGTATTTCAAATAGAGAAAATTGTTTCTAACAAGAATATAAAAAAAATAAAAATGATTACCAGATTTGCAAAGATAGAGAGTCCAGAAAACCAAAATCCGAGTTTTTCAACACCTAGAGTGCATAAATATAATATTGTTTATGCTGCATAGAGCAATAAAGTTAACTATCCTCTACCAAATGAGATATCGTCCAGTTCTCTGTGACGTTTTTCGTCGAAGATACAACAATTTGATTGAAGGTCAAAAAATGATTTTTCTATAGGCGACTGGAAAAAACCAACTTTAGGGGCTTTTATGAGGTAGCTGTATCTCAGCTAACAGACGTCATAGAGAACTCGACCATGTCTCATTTTGTAGAGTATGGCTTACTCTATCGTTCTATATAGTCTAAACAGTGTTATATTTACGCTCTCTAGATGTTGAAAAACTAGAATTTGGGTTTTCTGGAATCCCTATCTTTACGAATCTGCTAATTACTTTTATTTTCTTGTGTTTTTATTGAAAACCATCTTCTCTATTTGAATTACTATTTGAATTTTTTCTAATGTTTATAACAACAGAAAAAAATTGAAAATAAATCCTATAGAATAATTTTGGTATTCACTGTATGTATGTATTTTTAGTAAATTTCCTTATTCCATAACATTATAGCTATTATGAAATATTTAAGATTATTATTCGAAATTTTTTTTTTTACTAATAAAATTTGATGAAACATTTCTTATCATGATAGGAATACTATTTTTAGAAAGAATAAAATACGAGCAATTTTGAAATATGCTAGATATATCATTATAAAAAAAGAGAAACATTTTGTTACTGTTGACCTGAAGTATGTGTAAAGCAATCTTTTTTTCTTTTGCTTTCTATACAATTTGTTACGAGTTCATATACATATTATAGAAGAGCAATATGTACATACCGATTATTCAACCGTATCTTTCTTCGTTTTTCCGTTGCCTGTAACTGTCTCTTCAGTACATTATTGCATCTACATCGGCGAACAGACTTTTGAAAAAAAGAGCCTTATTCACGATTTGATTGTTGGTCACGAAAATGTATAAAAAGTGGCCCTACTAGTTGATGTGTTGAGAAGTGGGATCCCCTCTTTCATTTCTCTTTCTCAATCGTCTTGCCAGCATATGCTAGCAAGACGATTGACAAAGAGATGAAAGAAAAAGGACTGTCCTTAGCAACAAATCAACTAGTATGACTACTTTTTTATACATGTTTGTGATCAATAAGAAAACCATGAATAACACTCATTGAAGTCAGTGGTAATTTTATTTTCTGCTGTTTTTTTGTATAAATATCAAAAACATAAATATTTATTTTTTAGAATATTAAAATAACTTTTATGTTAATTATTTTATATAAAATTCTGTTGGAGAATATTTTTTATTCTAATGAAATATATTTTGACTGTATAGTAAATGAACAAAGTTAGTCTTTGATAGACATATTTTCTTAGATATTTAAATAACATTTTCAAGCAAAGAATTTCATCGATACTTAGAGAAAATCTAATATTATTCTTAGATTTGAACTTTAATCTTACACTACGTTATTTCTTATGAGCAAAAATGATTAAGTATAAATTATATTAAGTCAAAAAAGTTTAATTGCCATATTTAATTGTATACACTATTCATTAATTGATTAATTTAATATGATACTATTGAAAAATATGCTTAAAATATTATTTATACTATTTAGAACAAGTTTTATAATTATTCTTTATTTATTATACAAAAAAAAGTCATCTACACTACTAATCGATAAAAATGATTATCATTATCATTTTGATAATTATCATTTTGAATATGAGAATAATTCTATATTAACAAATATTAATGTAATACCTTTTCCACAGTTTATTAATAAAAAAAATTCCATATTAATAATATCAAATGGTTTTCGAATTATATCAAAGCA